AACACTTTTGTATGTATTTTACAACATAGGGAATAAATGAATATAGTGACATTTTGCTGTGAGAAAAGAAAGATGCAAAGGTGGAACTCTGAGAATGAATCCTTTGGTATTGAATTTGAATTTGAGATATTAATATGAATCTATAGTTTCTTAAAACTATATGTTGTAGCTCTACTTACAGAGCCCTAGTGGGATGGCATCACATGCCATCAAATCTTAATCTTGACTACTCAATCTGAAGCATAGTAATTCCTCCTTTAGAAAACTGCTGTTTGAAACTGCTGTTTGAACTACTCTGTTATTCTTAGTCTCTTATTCTGTAGGTCAACTCTGTTATTTTTAGATAGTCCCTTATTCTATAAAATAACTGTTTTAGTTTGAATAATAGAAAAAGATAAAAACTTTGCTGTCTGACCTTGCAAGCTAGCCATCTGATGTAACAAGCTAATACTGATACTGATACTGATAATAATTCCCATATTCTTATGCCAAGTATTGGTTACAAACTGTCTGTAACAATAACCTACACAGAGCTCTTTGTAAATCTGCAAAGAAGCTCAAAAAGTATAAATTCGGAAAACTTCCTCTATATTGGGGCTCAGAGATCTGGGAACACCTCCCTCTGGGCCCGCGCGAATAAAGACTCCTAATTAATTGGCTCATTAAGGACTCTCATATCTATCTCGCTGATTTACGATACAACACTATCAGCTACAGGTCTAAAACAAGCATGTCAAACTCAAAGGCTAACATGGGCCAAATTAAAAAGGTTTAAGATTATGGGCCCGTAAAAAAAACAAAAACAAAAGCTTTAATTTTCACAGAAACGTAGGTTTATTTCGATAGAGGCATGCTGAATACAAAAGGCTGAAATAAATGAGTAGTCATTAGCATAAAACAATAGAACATTTTAATAAAAATTAATATTCTTTGAACATTAATATTCTTTCTTTAATTTACCAGACACTGAAAACTGCACAAATTAATAAGCATAACACAAATAAACCTATGTTTCTTGTTTTCCGAAAGCAAAATATTTCCTGTTGCTCACACCAAACAAGTCAGTCCAAGACTAATGACGTGGCTAGTATTTGTTGCTAAAATATTTGCTGCTAGTATTAGTGGAGAGAAATGGTGCGCCTGCGTGTAAGGCACGTAAGGGAAATGAATGTAACATAATTTAGTAATCAGTCATTAGAGAACGTTGTAGTTCGTTATTAATAATTATGTATAACAGGATATTGTAAAAATTAAGTAACAAAAATTTTATTAAAACATTTCTTACATACAGTTATATTGGCAGGGCTGCAAAAATATTTGTTGTGGGCCAGATGTAGCCCATGGGCTATGAGTTTGACATGCTTGGTCTAAAATAAAAGACAATATTAATCTGAAGAATATTCCAAAAATAAAGGGCTATATTTTATTCTTCACTCATTTTCTCTTATTAGAAATTAGTGTGAATATTAATAATAATTTTAATAATAGTAAAACAAATGACTGAGAGAGACAAATAAATTAAGGCCATAATTTGCCATAAAAAAATTTACATTGTAGGTTCTAAAGTCATAGGAAGAAAAATAAATCAAATAACACTAATACTATGCCAGAATAGTTTAAATAAAGAATTTTGCAATTCATTAAATGAATTGTGATATCATTGATTCAACACACTGAGCACCTACATATATAGGCCAGTTGCTAGTCTACCTGCTTCTCATACAATGGTAAATAGGACAGAACAATCTCTGATTTCTTGTAATTTACATTCTGATTTAGGACTTGCATTCCAGTGGGGTTGTACAATATAGTAGACATGGTTCACTGTTTCTAAAATAAATTACCTGTGTTACCAATTGGAAAGAATTGTTTGTCACAAAATCATTACCTCTGTTATGTTTGTTTCTATTTGAAGTAACACTACCAAGCTTATTAAAGCAAAGATATGTTTGTGCACATACATAAACTCTCCAGTTAGAGAAACAACACGGGCTGGTGCACCATCAGTGGATACAATTATGTAAAACTCATCTTCCATAGACAAGTTATGGTGGTTTTAAAATAACTTCACTTAAAACCATCTCCGGAGAGCTTATGGTAGTCTCTCTGTCTCTGAGAAACTTGAAAAGTAAAAAGCACTTCATCGCCCTTCATTGAAGGGGTCACCAAGCAAATGAGCACAGAGGCTCAGAGGCTGTGCCTTCCAGTCCTGTTAGAATGGTTCCATCAGCGATATCCTGCCACTGAAGCGGCACCATGTATTAGAAATCTAACTGCAGCGAGGTTTCCCTGTCAGCACACGAGAGAAAGAACAGTTTATACTGAAATTTCAAGGGTTAGAAAACGGATTTTGAAGTCAAAGGCATTGGTGTGGGTAAAATTGTATTTTATTTAACTCTCCTGCTGAATGAATCAACACACATTGCAGTCAGCCAACCATAGGATTCACTCACCCTTCAAAAAGAGGACAAATCAGGCACTTTTGTGAAATAACATAATAGCCATAATTGATAGCATTTGGCAAAAAAAAAAATATATATATAAATGATGCTTACATTTTACCATCTAGCCTTATAAAAGGAAGAAAACAGTTTCCCTAGAGTTGAGGTACATCCTAGTTGGTACAGGTCTGTCTCAATTTTGATTTTATATTTTGAACATAAGAAAACAGCTTTAAATTCTATGCCCTGAAAACTCAGCTGACTTTTTTTTTTCCCTTTTGGAGAAAAATATTAAGAAAATCATATTACCCGCGCTTAAAAAATAAATTACTGTTACTACATTTGTCTGCTAGTTCCTCATATTTTGAGAGAAATACAAAAGCATAACCTATTCCTTGAGCCTTGAGTTCACTTTCTTTATGAGATGGTATTTTATAGTTGAGGAAAATCTTTCTGAGGGTATTATGGAAAAAGTAGATTCTTACCTTTTGATATTTTAACCAGTCTATCAAGAAATTCCGTATGTGAGTCTGCACCTAAATGCTTTACTACAGACAGATGAAGAAGATACTTATGTTTGATTGCAGAAAGATATCTTAAGAAATTGGAAGTGAAATACTGTTTTGATGCATACTGGCAAGTCTGTCTGTCTGCATGGCTGTGTTAGGGTTTTAAGGTGCAACTGTGCAAACTATTATTATCTGCAAAACATATTTTCAGAGACAACCATACTGGAAAAGATAAATTACCAATATTTTGACTAGTTTTCCTTAATACCTTTTAAAGGGCAGATTGTACCCTGGTTTGGCTCAGTGGTTATTGTGTCAGCCCAAGGACTGAAGGGTTGTGGGTTTGATTCTGGTCAAGGGCAAGTACCTTAATTGCAGGAGGCAACCATTGAGGTGTCTCTCACATCGATGTTTCTCTCTCTCTCTCTGTCTCTTCCCCGCCCTTCCACTCTCTCTAAAAATCAATGGGAACAAATATCCTTCGGTGAAAGTAACAAAAATAAAATAAAATAATAAGGCTGACTGCTTGTGTTGCCAATACAGAATTTAGTTATTAAAAGGACTAAATTTTTGCCCAATACAGGCTACAATTTTATGTACTATCTATTCTTCACTGACCATTTTATGGAACTTAGATTCAAGTTGCAGTATTTAATATCTGCAATATTCTGAAATTGGCTTGAGTCTTTTTTTCCATGAGTAGTGAATTGTTTCTATAATATGTAATACTGCCACACACACACACACACACACACACACACAAATAATAGAAAAAAAAAGATAATGTAATTTTTTCCCTTTTATTTCCAAGAAAATGTTAAGAGAGGCAAATCTTAATGCATTTAAATTGAAAATCGTGTCTTTTCTTGTACTGGTCTGCTTTGATAAATGCCATGTAATTTATGTTGGCATCTTTGTATTGTAAGTATGCATTATCTGTTTTTAAAATTGTACCATAAGCATTGACTATAGGCTCATAGGGTATTACAGAAAGCCGAAGTCCATTGCTAGTAAATAACACATTTCTTTTTTTAAAGGATTATTGTTATGTATATTTATTTTTCATTGTTGATCTGCCTTCCATTTAGGTATGGATATTTTTTTAAGTGATTACATTACAGTTTGTAATCTCTTGATCACCATATCAATGTTTTGCACATACACTTAATTATTTATTAATAACTATTCTAATTTTGACTCCTAAATGGCATTTTCTTTCTTTCTTTTTTAAATAAATCTTTACTGGGGGAGAAGAAAATGGTGGCCAAATAGGCACAGGTATCACACACCTTGTCCTAGGGCCAGACTGGAAAAGCAACTAAATTGGAGAACATCTACGTGGAATTAACAAATTAGACACAGCTGAGGAGACAATTTTTAACAAGAAGGGCAAAGGATGCCTGGAGAATGGTAGGAACTGGGATCTGGGCTGGAGAGGGACATCCGGCCACCAGGCCTGGAGGGAGAGTTAGAAGCTGCATTGCACCTAAGCCACATCCCTTTGCAATAGGTATGATACCCAGCTGAGAAAAGGAAAAGCCACAGGGCTGCTGGTGTCTGGGGAATCTGGAACTAAGACCTCAGCCCTGAAAGGCAGCCTGAAAAGTAGCCTGAGCAGCATGGTGCCAGTGGAAGAAAAACCTGCAGTTTTGTGGTTGTTTTGCTTTTGTTTTGTATTTGCTTTTACTCCATAAACCCAGAACATAGGATTTTTCAGTTGCAAGAACTTACCTGAGGCTGCAGAGGAGGGAGAGGCACAGATTTGAGGAGAGGCTAGGGAGGGAGGCAAGGCAGGGAGACTGGCCAGGACTCTGGCATTGGGACATTCCTAACCTTCCAAACCTAAACTGCCATTTATCTCCTGTAGAGTGAGCCCCTCCCAGTAGCCTCAAGGCAGGTAACACAGCCTGTCACACCCTGCCTGCATTTTGAGGAACAAAAAGAAAGAAAATACAAAGGAAACAAAGGCTCTGAATAGCCCCAAAGAGCCCTCGGTGACTGGGTTGGAAGAGGGGCCTGTCCACCCCACTATTCTGGGAACCAGACTGATAAAATCTCAGGTTGCCAGCCAACCCCACTGGTCTCCATACAAGGATCTCTGACCAACCAAGGCCAGAGTAATGTTTTGGGTCACTGGCTGAGCAGTAGCTCTAGCCCTAGATCAGGGGAAAAACATCCATCTGATGGAAACAGCACCACCCCCACCTAAAGCCCTGCTGGAAACAGACACTTGATTGGTTAAGATTGACAGCTGGCAGACAGGCAAATCAGGCAGATTGGTCCCGCCTGCTTGCAGCTAAGGCCTATGGAGATAGACACAAGCAGAGGAGCAGTGGATCACTTAGAGCTTCCACAGGGAGCTAAGTGCCAAAGACAGTGCCTGACAGTGGTCAGCATCTAACTACCTAACTGGAAGCCCAGAATCGGCAGACAGAACAGGAGAGTGGGGTCCTAAACCAGCCCCTATGAGGCACTGAAATGCAGTTGAAGCAAATGACACTTCACTTTTTTATTTTTATAATTTGAAAAAATTACTATTATATCTTATTTTATAAAATTTATATTATTTTATCTTATTTTTATTGTTATTGTTATTTTACTTTTTTTCTTTCTTTCACCTTTTTCTTCCTTGTGTCTCCCTTTTTTATCATGTTTTTTCTTCTCTTTTCCCTGCTTTACCTTTTCTCTCTCCTTTCTTTTCCCTCTTGTTAAAAATTGATTTTCTTTATCTGCTTTATTGATATGTTATTATTGTAGTCTCTGTTGGCTTATTCATATATCCAATTTCCTCTTCCCTGCTCCTACTCCATTTCCCCATCTCTGTTCACTTTTTTGCTACTCAACTTTTTTTCCTTTACCTCTTCTATTTTGCTATTTTCTTCTCCTAATTATTTAATTAGTTTTACCTCATAAATTCAGGCCTATATGCTCTCTCTTCTATTCTCCTTTTCAATAAATAAATAAATAAATAAATATTTTTAAAAACTTATTCTATTTTTTTTCTTATTATTGACTCATTCTCTTTCTCACTCCTCTATACTAAACCATGGTCCTTCCCCTCTTCATTCAATTCCTTAACCCTATTTTTTGTATTTAAGTTCTGCCTCTACAGATTCCCCCCCCCCCCCAGTAGAAGTTGAGAAATGAATAGAAAACCTATATGAAGAAATGACAGAAAATGTCCCTGACAGCGGGGGAGAGGGGGCGGGGGGTGTCACACAAGCACAGAGAGTCCCAAACAATATGAACCCAAAAAGACCCACATCACGATACATCATAATTACAATGGCAAACATTAACGTCAAAGAAAGAATCTTAAGGGCTGCAATAGAGAGACAGAAAGTAAACTATAAGGGATCTACCATTAGACTATCAATTGATTTCTCAACAGAAATACATCAGGCCAGAAGGGAATGGAATGAAGTATACAAAGTAATGAAAACCGAGGGACTAAATCCAAGAATACTCTATTCAGAAAGGCTATCACTTAAAATTGAAGGGGAAATCAGGAGCTTCACAGACAAAAGCAGGCTAAGGGACTTTATTACCACCAAACCAGCATGCAAGAAATCCTAATGAAACTGGTGAAAGAAGTAGGAATAGAAAGAGGAGAAACACAGATGTAAAAGATAAGAATAGCAACAAACAAGTACCTATCTATATATATAAAAGGCTAAGCAACCATCCGACTGGCCTGTACATATGATGCTAACTGACACCAGGGGGCAGGTGCTCAACACAGGAGTTGCCGAGCTGCGGTGACTTGGCAGTGGTGGTTTTCAGTTGACGCACCCCAGAACCAGAGAGGAGGGAGCCCAATTCCTTGTGGGGCTGTGCAATTCCACCTTTGGCTGTGGGTTATGTTGTTGCTGGGGCACTGTCAGCCCTGAATCTGGTTTACTGCACACTTGCGTTTGCATTGCACACTCTGAATGACAACAACTTTGCAGAGTGCCCTCTTGCACTCCGGGACCCTTTGAGGGATGTTGGACTGCTGGTTTCAGCCCAATCCCCAAAGGCCAGGCCAAGGGACCCCCACCTGCTGGAGGGACTCTGCTCACTCCACAGGTGCCCTTCGAGCTGCAGTGCCACCCTAAGTGTGGCTGGCTGGGGAGGGACCATGGGAGGTTGGCTCCAGGGCATGTCCAGCCTGTCTCGCCCAGTCCCACTCTGCAGGCTACCTTCTAATTAATTTCCTTCAATGTGCACAAATCCGTGCAATGGGTCACTAGTTAATAATAACCTTAAATGTAAATGCATAAAATGCCCCAATCAAAAGACATAGGGTGCCTAAATGGATACGAAAACATTATATATATATATATATATATATATACTGTCTATAAGAGACCCACCTCAGAACAAAGGACTCACACAGACTTAAAGTGAAGGGATGAAAATTATTTTTCAGGCAATTGGAAAGAAAAAAAAAGCTGAGGTAGCATTACTTATATCTGGCAAAATAGACCTCAAAGTGAAGTTCATACAAGAGATAAGGAAGGCCACATTACTAGAGGGATTGATACAAGAGGATATAGCTCTGATAAACATACATGCACCCAATACAGGAGCATCCAAATACATTAAAAAAAAAACCTTCTGGAATATATCAAGGGAGAATTTGACAGCAAAATAATCATAGTAGGGGACTTTAATACCTGGATAAATCTTCTAGACAAAAAATGAACAACAAAACAACAAACCTAAATGACTCAGTAGATCAGATGGACTAATTGACATCTTCAGAACATTTCACCCCAAAGCTACAGAATATACATTCTTCTCAAGTGCACATGGGACATTTTCAAAGATAGACCACATATTAGGATGCAGGCTAAGTCTCTTCAAATTCAAGAAGATAGACATGATATCAAGCATCTTCTCAGATCAAAATGGCATAAAATTAGAAATAAACTGCAATAATAACAATAAGAGAAAATGAAAAAATTGAAGACTAAATAGCATGCTACTAAACAATGATTGGGTTACCAAAGAGATCAAAGAAGAAATAAAAAAACATCCTGGAAACAAACTACAATGAAAACAAAACAATCCAAAATCTATTGGACACAATGAAAGCAGTCCTGAGAGGGAAGTTCATAGCACTATAGGCTTACCTCAGAAAATAAGAAAAACTAGTAATAAGTTATCTAACCCCACAACTTAAAGAATTAGAAAGAGAGCAACAAGAAAAGCCCAGAGTAGAAGGAAGGAAATAATAAAGATCAGAGCAGAAATAAATAAATAAATGA